GTTTGGTGAAAAATTTGTGCGTTTAGGCCAGGGTTTGACTTCGTGTGGACGGGGCCTTAGACATAACCTTTGACCCACCTGCAGAGCGCTTTTACCTGTCCTCACCTGACTCACATTTTAATGAAGCATGTGACCGAAAACCACTCTGACGAGAAACTTAACGACCCGTCAGAACCCCCCCAACGACCATTAACACCGCCCAGGTCACCTTCTTGGCTAATCTAGTAGGAGGGATCAAAGTCACCTTTTGTTCTCCCTTAATATTTTGTTCCACTTAGAGTATATTCATCTCAGTGCTCCCCACCACTACTTAGAATTGCCTCTTGAGGCCAAACGTCTTCTAGAAACTTCACATCCAGTTGCCTAGACTGAAATTTTTCAAGCTTGACCCTCACCTGGATGACTCAGTCTTCACATATTCAATCTTTACATTATTCTTTATTAGTACATTTAAACACTCCTCAGGTTAGTTGATCTAAAATAATAAATAACAAACACCTACTCCTTCCCTGTCATTTACCCGCTGCCATGTATGCTGGACATTTCCTAACTTGTAGTGGTTTTTGCTCCCTTCAGCATTCCCCCTTTTAAAAGTGTTTAGTGCATATTTTATGTGTTTGAAGCAGTTTTGTATTTGCAGTTTGTTTGCATGGAGCTGCTTTGTTTTTTGATTCAAACAATTCTATTTTGTAGCCTTTATTTTGTCCAGCCTTCTTTTTACATGGGTAGTGAATTTTCTACTCATTCATGTATATGCAGGGCATTTGCTACCTAAGAAAGGATAGGAAATAAATGGCCCTTTGCTAAATTGTGATATTTGATGAAAAAACAAACCCCCCCCCCAAAAATCAGATTTTTTCAAAGTAGTCAGATTTTTTTTTTTTTTAATCAGCTTTAATTGAATTATCTATTTAAAAAATGGCCAGACAGGACAGGGTGATGAAGAAATGTGGTTCAAAAAGAAGCTGTTTTTCTTTTTGTCATTTTTTTCTTGATCTCTGCTGCCAGAATTAAAGGAGCACAAAGTTCAAAGGTTAGCTGGATTTCCATAAATAAGTGATTAAAAACCAACACTGAGCATTGTCACAGCGATTCAATCTGTTAGTTTGCTAAACTTCCTAATCATTCCTTAAGATGCACCTCAGGATATCCAGAAACTGGATTCAAATAGGATTATAAAGGAGCAGGATTCAGACTCCAAGTTTCTCACCTGAAAACAAACTGCAGGTTTAAGGGTTATGTTTAAATCTGTGTGCAGAGGTCAGATTATTTGCAATAGATGTGAGGATGAACTTTATTATATGAAGGCACATGGCAGATGTTGTAACTTGAGCTAATCAGCCACACTGAGTCACGGCACAGCTCTAAAACAAATGCCTGTTTGTGTCGTTTGTATCTAAAAACAAAAGGGAGAAAAAAATGGCTGATTTATGAGGATTTTAAGTTCATTACAGGTTTTTATACCTGGGTTATTTCGCTGTTGGTTTCATAAAGTTTAAAATTAGTAGCTGTAGCTTTAAAAGCTCAGATAAATTCTTTGACAAACCCCTTAAAAGGGAAGAGAGAGCTGCAGCGTGTTTACACACAGAAACTGAAAAGTTGAGGGAGAGGACATGTCTGCCTTAACTGGATGGAAGCAAAGCAGAGCCTCGCCACCATCAGCACTCATCTGGGATTTTATGATATTAAAATGCTTATTAGAACTGTTGATGTTATTACAGGGGTTATTGAATCATCCGTCTCCAGCAACAAAGTGGAAACCCATTGAAGTGTTTGGTAAATAAAACAAGGAACAACATTCAGGACATAGCTCTGAACAGGGAGTTCTCTGCTTCTAGATGAATACTTTTAAAATTTGCTCCTTTTCTTTTAAATTAACAAAGTTTGAAAAGAATGAACAAACTGCCATTTTAGCTTCTCAGCTCTTGGTGATAGAATAGAAGCTGTTTGAATCTGAAGCAGCGGCAAAAAGATGTGAGTTCAGCTGTAAATCCATCAGAGGGATGTTCTGTTCAGCCGAGCCTTCTGGCTCACCGGCCTATAATAGGTGCGCTCTTATGTTGACCCGATGAGGTGGCACTGTTATCATTTACTGTAAACAGCAGCTATTCCTGGGACACGCTTTTTTTTTCTTTCTGTTAATGCTAACGTTTCATCTCCATGAGTAGCTTTGCAGCCCATTCTACAGGACAAACACAGCTCCTTCTCAGATAGCTGAATGTTTCCACTGTTTTATTGTCTTTTGTTTAGTGCGTCATGTGTTATCTGGAGATCTTAGGTATTATTTAAAGAAAGCATTTTCTCTTCCTTAGTTTGTAGAAGAGCAGATACTCTCCTTCACTCCTGTAAAGGAATTCCAAAAAAATAAAAAAATAAAAAACAATCCACTGGACTTTGTTTCCAAGTTTGAAGATGTTTCGCTTCCCATCCAGGAAGCTTTTTCAATCGAAACAAAGTCTTGTTTTGGCTTAGAAAACATGCAAATTGAACGTAACGAGCGAGTTTGGTTTCTTTATTAGCCTGTAATAGCCTGTAAAGCCTGTCTATGTCTCTGAAAGGGGTGTCCCTTAAGGGTTAAAGGTTTTGTTTTGGTCCACTCTATAAAGCCTCAATC